CCTTTTCCGATTAAAGAACTGTAATTCATCCATTAATATCACATGACATATCTCATGATCTCTCATTTCCCTCACACAAAATAATGGGTAATCGGAACTAAGTACTTCTCACATTATTACCAAAGTGCTAGGTAGTAACCTTTATCGCCTCCAAAATGTCGCCAAACTACCAGTTAACATATTCCAAAGACCAGCCGAGGTATTTTTTAAAATTTTAATTAAAAAATATTCCTCTCACTTTGTAGTTTGTCTCCCAGTATGCATCAAACCTGAAATTGGGTATATCAGGTCTGGCAGAAATTTTTACACAGTATAAATTAGAATGTCATCGTTTTACAGGGTTCGTACGGTCCTTAAAAGTCCTTAATTTTTTCAAAAATGACTTTTGGTCCTTAAAAGTCCTTAATTTTGGCCAAAATGAATAAACGGTCCTTAATTTTGCTCATTTGACATTTCTTATCATTTCTAATGATTGCCATTCTAAGTGTGAATTACGATTTCTCGTGAATATGGAATTGAAATTACACGGCTCTTAACCAATCTGTTGGCGGATTTGCATTGCAAACGATAAAAAAAAATGGTACTTACGTATTAACGCAACCAGACCAAAATTCGGATAAATTGCAAAATTTGGCGACCCTACTTACGGCAACCCTACGTGCTATACGTAGTTTTGTAAAAAGATCATGTGGAGATTCACAAAATTTTCCTGCATTTTCGTGCAAATTTTTGTAATTTATTAGCAATTAAACCCTTCTGGTTTCGAATTTGAATAAGTTGCAGAATTATTTTTCCGGCGGAAATCTTTTCGCTGTTGCTTTTAGGACTGATTGAAAACCGTATTCGCCATAACCATGTACACGTCGACTTATTTTTACTTAAAAAAACATCCCAGAATTGCACAAAAATGGCATTGCGCACACTCTTGGCTTTATCCATGTACACTGCTATTTTTTCACAAATTACAAAAATTTTCACGAAAATGCAGGAAAATTTTGTGAATCTCCACATGCAAAATAGCAGTGTACATGGATAAAGTCAAGAGTGTGCGCAATGCCAATTTTGTGCAATTCTGGGATTTTTTTTAAGTAAAAATAAGTCGACGTGTACATGGTTATGGTGAATACGGTTTCCAATCAGTGCTAAAAGCAACAGCGAAAAGATTTCCGCCGAAAAAATAATTCTGCATCTTGCTGTAGCAGAGTTTGTCGCCAAATTTTCGCCAAGTTACTATAATCCAAACACATTCTAGAATGTCTGTTTAATGGTGGGCACCATTTACTTTTCAAGGTGAATTTATGGTTGGATAGAATTACATGCACATAAAAAAAGAAAAAAAAAAAAAAAAAAAAAGATCAGTTGCATTTCGCTTTTTACTTGGTATCTGTGTTCGACACAATTTCTATTTAATTAAAAACAAGAAAACTTTCACATAGATTTTTATTGTGATCGCACAATGGCAGGCACACGTTAAACAGTCGGTAGGCACAATGGTGTCCATGGGCATAGGACTGGGAACCCCTGCATTAGAGTATAATTATATACATATAAGGTTATATTTTAAATAACCATATATATATATATAAGGTTATTTAAAATGTTTATTGTATGCAAATCATTTTCTACGTTATTGTCAAGTAGTACCTTTTACTGTATTTGATGTTAATTTTGATATTATTTAATGATTTATTTAATTTATATTGCATAGAGTAAGTATGGATGCCATTGCAAAGCATAGCTAATAATAAATTAACAGGAGGGTAAATTATTTATGATGTTTAAAAATATCAGTAACTTTTGTAATTATTTTTAAGGCACTGACTTTAAATTTACAACATACAAGCGTAAAAAGCTTTTCCAGTGCGGCAAAATACAGTTCATGTTCTTTAGGTACGTATCTCAATTTTCATAACTTGTATAAGCTGTTTAAGCAGTGCATCTGATGATAACATAAACATGAATTTGCTAAGAAACACAATGGTAAAATGCAGAATCGATGGCACCTGTGAGATGAGTGATCACTCACCTAAGTTCAGACTTTGGCAGCTGCTTCTTGAAGAAGATGGTTTCGAAGATGAAAGTAACTGAGTTCTAATAATTAAGTATTAATAAGCTTATCACACATACTTCAGAGACTATAATAATGTTATCATAAGCACAAATAAGCACACCTCAATGGAAGTAAGGGAAACTGAATGCACTAGTTATGAATTTGCGAGAACACATTAGTAGACTGTGGATTGGCCATTGCCTGTAACATGAGTAGTCACCTACCCAAGTACAGATGCCAGTGGCTGCTACTTGAAAATGTAAGTTTCAAAGAAGTTCTAATAGTTCACAGTTTATGATCTTGCTTTTTCAGGCATAATTTTATATCATGCTTGCAGTAATATATGCACACTAACATTTCACAAATATAAAGATAGTTGTAGATAATAATAATAATAGAGCAAAGTCTCTAAACCTGCTATGCCAGGTGTCACAAAATGGGATTCACATTGGGAAGCAACCTGATTAGTCTATATCCCGCTGTGGTGGGTGAAACTAAGAATAAAAATGGATAAGTGAGGATATGCACTATTTACACTTGAGAAATAAGAAACCTTGCTTGAGTTTACTGTGTCGTATCACGTCTTGTTGTTTACAGATTGAAGTTTACCACTTTGGATTCTGATGTATTGATCTAGGACATTTTGCTGCATTTTCTATAGTTAGATCATAGTCTATTAATTTTTTGATGTGTTCAAAAAATGAGTTGTTCATTTTTTCAAAAAAGTTGTGTCTGGTAGTTAGTATTTGATCATGTATATTTAAAATTTTTAACTCTTTATGTATTTATTGCTTTCTTATGAACTAGGGTGCATCTGTAGTTTCTCAAAATATTTTATTCTGGTAGGTATCAAGTTTTTTCCTTTAGGTTTTGCAGACTGTAGCCTTGGTTGGTATTGCATAAAGCAGTATGGGGCGTAAGTCTGAGGTAAATTTTTCTTTTAGTTCTGATGTGAAATTTTAATCTTCTTCTGATAAGCGGTCGTAATGCAATTTTGGCTGCGGTGCCTTTTCTGAGGACATAATCTGTGTATTCTTTGAAGAGAAGCTGTGGTTCAAAATTGATTCCCAGTTATTTTACAGAATTTGTGACTGAAAGAGGTGGATCTTTTTTTTTTATATTAATGTTAACTAGAGTGTGTTTCCTGTGGTGTCTAAAGAGCATTATGTTGTATTTATTGGGGTTCAGTTTTAATTTCCAACACTTGTACTAGTAGCTTATAATATTAATTGCTGTTTCATGTTTGTCAACTGCAAATTGTGGCTTGAGAAACTTAGTAATTATAATTGTTTCATCCATATGCCTGACTGCCTTTGTGTTCAAGGGCTCTGGCATGTCATTGGTACAAACATTAAAAAGGCTTGTGCCTAAGACACTTATTCGTGCGACACCATTTCTACAGATCTTCTTGAAGGAAAGTGAATTGCCAATATGGATTTGAAAAGTCCTGTTCTTGTGATAAGATTTTAGCAGTTTGATGAAGTTCACAGGTGGTAGTGATTAATGTAACTCAAAGAGAAATCCTTTGTGCCAAACTTTGTCAAAGGCCATCTCCAAGTGAAGGAAGCAGCCTGCAACTGTGTTTTTCTTGGTAAAGGCTTCAACAGTATATTCCGTCACATTAAGTATCTGGTGGGCTGATCTATGCCCTGAGTGGAATTCATATTGTTTTTTATCTGAGAGGTTGTGTTTTTCAAAGTGACTGACCAATCGTTTTTGCAGAGCACATTTAAAAATTTTTGACACAGGGAAGCAACCTGATTAGTTGATAGGAATTCAGTTTTTTAGGGTTCTTTCCAGGCTTCAAAAAAGTAATAATGAATTCCACTTTTGTGGATAATAAATAAGTCTCATACAAGCAGTAATGATATTTGTGATTAATAGTATAGATCCAAGGAAATTATTTGGTGGTGTTATTTGAAATCTGATCAAATCTGTGAGCTTTTCTTAGTTCTTGATAAATTATGATTTTCAAAAGGGGAAGTAGACAAAATATGGTTAAGTCCAGTTTTATCAGGAAGATGCATGCTGAATTCTTCAACTTCTTTCTGCGTCCCGGTGAAAGCTGGGATAGGACTTGAAAATATTTTCAAGCGCATTAGCTATTCTCTCGGCCATATCTTTTCCCAAGTAGACTGGTCCATGAGGGATATTTAAAGGTATAATATTGAAAGGGTTTTGGTTACATAAAGATTTTGCTATTTTTCATACCTGGGTGTGATTAACTTCCATGTTTTCTAGCTCATCATTGTTTGAGTGGTATTCTGCTTTGAGGTGTTAAATTTCCCACATTTTCTTACTAAGTATTCTTTTAACTGTGAGAGCAGCTGTTCTCCATAATTTAGCTGTCCTGTTCTTTTCTTTACTTTTATCTAGGGGAGAGGGGATGATCTGTATGTGATTTCTGAAAATGTCTAGTTTTTTATCAAAATACTTATATATAGATCTAATATATATCCTAAGTTATTCTTTTGAGACAAGAAAAACGCCAGCTGAATATCATCAATCAGCTTAGTGAAACAGGGAATATAGAACCGCCCCTCTTTTTTAAAACTTGGTGTACAAGATAATTCAATATTGTGGATAATGGTGTTTTCTGAAATCAATTTATTTCACATTTGCTTTGCTTGAATATAATATTTACCATTCCTACCCTGTGTGGGAAAAAAGGAAAGAATCTTAAAAGAAAAGTTTTGTGGGAGGTCCGGATAATAGATCATCCTGGTTAATGGATGCTTGCATTTTGGACTTCATACTGTTGTTTTTAGTTTTTCATTTTTTTTTTTTTCCCTTTTGATTTTTGAATTAATTACAGCTGATTACTTGCATGCTTTTTAGTGGTTAAAAGTTAATAATTTCAGTTTCAGAACTTAATTACATGAATGAAAATTAATATATTAAAGTTTATATATTAGATTTTAATGATTTTACTTAAATTTAACCTTTTCAGTTGGTACTATGGGAGAATATCTAGAGCTGATGCTGAAAAATTACTACTGACCAAACATGAAGGGGCTTTTCTGATTCGTGTGAGTGAGAGTTCTCCAGGAGATTTCTCACTTTCTGTCAAGTATGACTTGTTTTATTTGATTTTTTTAAAAATTTTTTATTTCATTTAGTTTTTGCAGTTTATGTTTTATGTTCTTGACTGTATTTTGATATTCATATCTTATTTATTTTTTCTCTCTGTGTAGTGTTATATAAGCTCATGATATAATTCTGCTAGAGTGGGGTCAGTTAAAAATGTGCCACTCCCCCCAAAAAAAGAAAAAAATAGTTTTATTTCTTTTCATTGGGGGGAAGTGGTAATGAAAAGTTCGCAGAAATGATGGTTCATGAATTTAGATTAAAAATTATACCCAAAGGAATTGAAAAATCGTGGAACTGCAAATGAGTTCAGTTCTTAACTATTCATGGCATATTTTTATTGTCAGTGCTGTATTTGAAGAAAATTTCCCAATGCAAATTTGCCATATATTCATTTTTGCTAGCAAAGAATAGATTGTTTTTAGGAATGGAGGAAAAAATTGTATAAATTTTAATTAATAAATTCATTTAAATTTCACCACTGGAGAAGTGTGAAATGCAAGCAAGGTTAAAATATTTTGCATCATAATGTAATTAAATATTTAATTGAGAACATATTATGAAAACTTTCTCACTAAACATAATTTATAATTCTTAGGATAAGTAGCAAATATATGCATTAGCACTAATGTGGCCATAAAGGGCAGCAAAATGCTGGAAAGACTGAAGCTGTACTGAGTGGTAGAAAGCCCAGTATCAACCCTGAGGATAATCCCACTTTTGGCTTTAAGCAGATTAAGCTATATATTAGAAATAAAAATTTGTAGTCTATTAAGACTTAGTACACAAAATCAAATTTCTTGTCAAATTTCACCCCTTTCCTTGAAGAAGCTTAAATATGGTGGCTTTAAAATGAAAACAAATATATTGAAGAAAAGATTTTTTTCACTAAAACTATATATTTCAACTAATTATGTAGTTTTAAAAGACATCTCTGTTATCTTAGTCACTTTTAAGTTTCGAGAATTCTCTGTATAATTTTTCTTTTTTATTTGAAAAATGCCCTTGTGTCTCATTCCACTTCATTTCATGAACGTATATTCTATGAATATAAGGTGTTTTAAATATTCTATGCTTTTTATGGTTATAAATTAATGAATTATGATAGCACATATATACAAATAGCAAATAAAAGATATATAGCAAACCTTTTAATGTTAAAAATTTCTGAGATTTCTCATATTTTGTGTTGTTTGGAAGATATTTATTAAAATATGCACTTTCTGTCTGCTTGTTTGGAATGTAAATGTGTATGTCATTCTCAGTTATTCTAGATTTGTATCATTAACCTTTATACCAAGTAAGATTATCTATGCCTATAATTATTTATTACAAACTCTTTAAATTCTAGACAGAGTTATAAGAGTGTTAAAAAATACAACTTAGTGATGTCGAGTTAGCTTGTGTATAATATGGAGTAATTCAGAAAGTATCATCTGATTTCAAATTTTTATCTAGTTTAAAAAAAAAAAAAATGAATGAAATAACATGAAAAGAAATTTGTGCAAGTTTTTAGTGTATTAATAATAGAGAGTATATTTTGTCATTTAAAATGTTCTTTTTGAGGAAAAAAGGAATATTGCATCTAAGGAGTGAAAAGATTTTGTGTTCTCATATGTATAATATCACTAGCTTGCAGTGGATTAAATGATTTTGGTTTTAAACATTTGACTTCTTTGCATCCAAGTATAACCCCTTATGACATTTTCCTTTTGTATGTATCTGAAATATCAGATATTTGTACCACCTAAGCTCACAAGCCTAAATGAACTTAATGACACATTGGAGTGTATTCGGCAGCAGTTTTCATATTGACTTGATGTTATGCATATAACCAAAGAAAATCATATCAAACATTTGTAAAAAAATTGTTAAATATTTTTCATTTATTACTTTTTATTCTTCTGTATTGTTAATTTTTTAAATTATGAAAATTGGAAATCAGGCGATTCTTTTCAAATTGTTTTATGATTTTTAATAATAGGTGTATGTATTCTTATAGCATGACAAATTGTTTAAAAATGTGTCTTAATTGTCATTTGATATTGAATTTTATCATATTTTTTGGATTTAGGTGTGGAGATGGTATACAGCATTTTAAAGTTCTGAGAGACACTCAAGGCAAATTCTTTTTATGGGTTAAGAAGTTCAGTTCCCTTAATGAACTAATAGATTATCATCGCACAGCTTCTGTGAGTCGATCTCATGATGTGAAACTGAAAGATATTCAAAAAGAAGAGGTGTGAAATTTTTAGTGTATTTTAAAATGTATTTCCTTTTCAGTTTTCTTTTCTACACTTTTTTTAAATACAAGTACCAGCAGATTTCTATTAAGAAGGCATTCTCAGATAAACCAATTTAAATTTAAATTATTTTGTAATGTAGAATAGTTGAATGAAATTTAGTATGAATTAGATAATGTTAGAGAGCAATTACAGTGTACAATAGAGAAAGTACCCACTGATGATCATGAAAACAGGGATGTTCAAAACTGATATTGCAAGATGGCCCTTGAAATGAAGTTAGTAGACTTCTGTACCAAAACAGTTCTTAGCTTCTAGTTGATTCTTGAAAATGGTTAGTGAATAACTGTTGCCAAGGTTGAATTAGCCATTAAGCAATATAAGCATGTGCTTAGGGCATCAAAGAAAATGGGTATCACAGAAAGGTCCTCAGGTGTTCAGGAAAGAGGGCACCAAAAATTTTCTCTTTGCTGATTTTACAATGGAATGCATAATGCAGCTAAACCAAAACTGAGAAGAGAAGGATTGAAGAAAACTGGTGTAAACATATGTGAGAGTACCAAAATCTTAGGGCATGTAAAATATACACGACCCTGGCTGTTGCTCTGTGCATCCTAAATGTGTTCAGTTACACTAAGGCTTGGAAGATATAGCTGACCACTCAGTGTGCTGAATATCCTCACTTTGAAGATTTTTGGCTATTACTTAAGCCCTATATGGATGAATATTTCATTTGTGTAAAGCAACTGAGAGCCACCTGCATCCTTGGAAAGTCATGTAAAAGATTCTAAAATACAGAGGTATATTTCTGGGCAGTTAGGGACATCTACACTAGGAGATGAACTATAAATACCTAACTTAAGAATTTGAACCATCATTACATGTGCTATATAAAATGCCAAAAATTATGACATAATATATTATCATATAGTATTGACATTTTTACCTGTCATATTTCCATACTTTGCAGCATAGCCTTTAAGTAATTTTTAAGCAAGATAATGCCACACCTCTTGTTTCAGCAACAATGGAAACATTTTTCAGATAACAATGTCTTTCTTCTTCCATGATCCCTTAAATCACCAATTTATCCTCCGTTAAAATTGTATGGGATTGGGTCAAAGAAAAGGTGATACATTAAGACAACCCTCCAGCAAATCTTGATGAATTTTGGATGCTGGTTTATGTAGATTCTAATCCTATTCCACAAAATATATTAATATATTATAATATAGTTCAGAAGTCAAACAACAAAAATCAGCATTATATTTACAAAATTTTCACAGGACTAGTTTTGATGGTTTTACCGAACTACCATCTTCAGCTGCAAAATCGCAAATGTTTCATTTCATTTGCGGTTTTGCAGCTGAAGATGGTGGTTCGGTAAAACCATCGAAACTAGTCCTGTGAAAATTTTGTAAATATAACGCTGATTTTTGTTGTTTGACTTCTGAATTGGTATTTGTTCGGCGTGTTGTGTCTTAATTATAATATAGTATTGACATTTTTACCAGTCATATTTCCATGCTTGCAGCATAGCCTTTAAGTAATTTTTAAGCAAGATAATGCCACCCCTCTTGTTGCAGTAACAATGCAAACCTTTTTCAGATAACAATGTCTTCCTTCTTCCATGGTCCCTTAAATCGCCAATTTATCCCCCGTTAAAATTGTATGGGATTGGGTCAAAGAAAAGGTGATGCATTAAGACAACCCTCTTGGAAATCATGATGAATTTTGGATGCTGGTTTATGTAGATTCAAATCCTGTTCCACAAAACATTAAAATTTTTATTACTTTACTATGACATGCAGAGTAAACAATACAAGCCAAAGATGTATACACAAAATACCATCTGTCTCTGGATATGTAATGCATATTGTTTTGAAATGCTAATATTGTATTTCATATTGTTTACTTCACATATCCTGTATGGATAAAAGTTGTAGCTAATTCATTTTATGTGTTCTATATTTTAAGAGTAGTTATCAGGATTTCACAAAAGTTTCTCGCCACCGCAAATACTATCTGTGCAAACATTTTGCATTGGCTTGTTTAATCATATTGTCAAATTATTTTTGCATTTGAAAGAAAGAGACTTGATTTAGAACACTGCATTATGAAATTTGTAAAAAAATATCATTATCTTTAACTACAGGGTGGTTATAATTAAAGTTCCAATTTGAAATGGTCATAGAAGGTACTGGACCAAATGTTATCAAACTTGGTAATCCTGTAAAGGAGGTCATGGGAATTTATTTTCCAAGAAAAAAGAAAAAGTTAAAAAAATGCATCACTAGGGTGGAAATGACGTTGTATGCAATATTATTAAATGAAATAAGGGTCAAAATCTAACTTAACCTTTTGTTACACAGGTTTAACTTGTTATATACTCTTAAAAAACATTGACCTAAACAAAATTACCATTTAAAGGTGATAAAAGTTGAGTGCACCATCCGTGTAACAGAAAAATCCGCTCTTAAAAACCACAAATTAGCAATTAGAAAATGTGAGATAGCAAAAGTGTGCACATTCCGTAAATCGTTTTCTTATAGATCGCTAATTTGTGATTTCTGAAGCCTGAATTGGGCCCTAAGACGTGAAAATATTGGTTTAAAACATTTTTAATCATTTCTAAAATGAAACTGTATGCAATGGATTTATGCAAAATCGAAATTATGGATTTATGCAAAACCGAAATGGCTTGTAATTGGCTTACAACAAGAAGAAGCAAATGATTTATGCAAATAATCTTAACAATATGGTGGAATTAAAAGATGCGATGCACCGGCATGTCCATAAAATTCCTCCCGAAGAGCTGCTGTTGAGAATGCAGTAATATGATTTAACTTGCTTTTGGAAAATGGGGGATGCCACATTGAACTTGCTTTATGTTTCAGAAATGATTAAATGCATTTTAAACCGATGTCTTCATGTCTTATTTTGTTTGCTATTTTCCCCTGGTGAGTTTTTGAACTTTTTTCCCCATAGGAAATAAATTCCCATGACCTCCTTTATACGATTACCAAGTTTGATAACAATTTGGTCCAGTAGTGTTCCTTTAATAACCATTTCAAAGTGGAGCTTTAGTTATAACCACCTGTACAAAGATGAAATGGAACTATCACACTACCAGATTAGAACCATCGTTTACTTCCAGTTCTATTGCAAAAAAGTCAGCTACAGAATATCAACAAATCATGTGTACGGCTTTAGGTACTAATGTTATATCATATGATCATGTGAAGGTTTGGTACTGAATGTTCAAATACTAGGACTATGGCATTAAGAAGCAGAGAACTCTAGCCAGCCTACTGATGTTGATGAGACCCGTCTGCAAGAACTTGTGGAAGATCACTAAGCAACAACTCAAGAGCTTCCTAAGGAGTTAGACGTTAGTGCTATGTCCATTAGTCGTGCTATGCTTCACATAAACTTGATGTGCAAGCTCAATCGCTGGGTGCTACGTGAGCTACTCAAGCAGTTAAGGACAGATGTGCTGTAAAGTGGATTTACTTCAACAACACAGGCTGAAAAGAGGATTGGTCTGTGCCTGGTGTTGGCAGGGTCGCAAAGTGCAATTTGACTAACAAAAAGAGCTTGCTTTGTATATGGTGGGATTGCCGAGGTATTATCATTTGTAAAGAGTGTCTGGAAAAAGGTAAAACCCTTGACAGTAAGGTGTACAACGAGATGGTAGTCTGTGTTGATGGTGCTCTCAAGGAAAAGTGTTGAACTGGGTTCCTGCACAAAAAGGTAAGGTTCCATCTAGATAATGCAAGACCTCATGTGTCTGTATTCACCGGCTGTACTCGAATGGGATCTTTTGCCACACCAACGGTATAGCCTCAACAGCGCTCCTTCAGGCTTCTACCTTTTTTCACACCTGCAGCTACATCTTGCTGGTGCTAACTTCCATTCCACACAGAACATCTGAAATGAGGTTGATCTGCTTTTGGACTTGCAGCCACCAAGTTTCTGCGTCGAAGGCTTTGAAAAACTACCAAAACTTTGGCAGAAAACTATAGATTTGGGTGGTGATTACTACCCACACTAAAGGTTCCTCCCCCCCAGCTTTTTTAAGCTGGGTCTTTAACAATTTTAGGTGGAAAACTTTCGTTACAACCAGATACATATATGTCTTAACTGTTTTGGAAGCATCTAAAAACATTCATTCATATAATGCAGTGAAGTAGATGCAAAATCTATACGTGTTTCTGTGTGAAAGTTAAGGAGTTTGGGGAAGGGATTCCTGTAAAAGAATTATCGATCTGTTGATTAAAATAGTGAGATCTTTCTAAGGTTATTGCTTCAGAAGGGTGATATTAAGTATTATATTTTGTAAATTTTGAGACCTACTGTTCATTTTTAGATGTGGTTGTCGAGAGATGTCTCACCACAAGAACCAGATTATTTAGACATGCAAGTTTCTTCTGAAAATTGAAAAGTTAATTCAGTTTTCTAAATTTTATTAATCTCAAAATTAAAAAATGATGTATGTGGAAATTTTAATTTTTCAGTTCTTGGTGCAAGCAATGTACGACTTCAAGCCTCAAGAACCTGGAGAACTTGAACTTCGTCGAGGGGATATAATAACTGTTCTGAATCGTTCAGAAAAAAATTGGTGGAAAGGCAAAATTGGATCACGAAAAGGCATTTTTCCAGCTACGTATGTGATGCCATGTAATAGATGAAAGATTGCTTGGAGCAGCTTTCATTGATATCCTTTTCAATTTAAGGCTGAATATATCACAAAATATACCATTTTCAGCCTTTGCATGTCTTTGACTGCACATTCTAAACACCTGTAAAATTAGTTGCCATAGAGTTTTAATTTCTTTTGCATGTCTCTAGACTTTTGAGTACAGAAAAATATTTGTGGTCACACATGTAAAATTTTTAAATTTCCTTATCAGACTTTATAGTTTAAGTATGTTTTGACATATTCACACATATGATTTTAATTGTTTGAATATTTATTTCATAAGCCTATGAAGTAGAAATAAATCGTAGGATTTGTGCAGTTTTGAACTAATTTTCTGATTTTTGGGTGTTACTAAGTTGAAGAAAAATATTAATGATAACAAAGTGAATTTCAATTTTAGTTTTAATAGTTATACATATAAAAAGTTCCGTTTTGTTACAGTTCTTAAAACTTATTTATGTATTTTCTGATATTCTAAGTATAATAGTTTTTATGTTTTAATTTTTATGAAGGGATCATACTGTGAAAATCTGTGCTTTATTTATTGTTCATGGTTATGAGTTTTGAACAATATAGTGTCATTTGATAGAGATAATATTACAGGGATGCATGCAAGTTCATGATATTAATATTTTTTGTAATATTGCAGTTGATAAGAATAGCAGTAAATTTGCTTAATGCAATTAGTGTAGAAGTGATTCAAAAGTTTTTGTTTGAGAGCTGTATGTCTTGATGTTTGTTTCACTCTATTTTAACACTAGCAATTAGGAAACTGTTCCATTGATGAACTGTATTAAAGATATGTAATTAAAGTCTGCTGTGTGCTCCATAAAAAAAATAGTCCTCTTGGTGGACTATTTTTTTTATGGTCCTCTTTCAGAAATGTTTTCTGTGATCTATGTGATGGAAAAAAAATCATGTAAGAAATTTTCCATTAAGAGAATTTAGCTTTTTTTAAAAAAAAAAAAACTCTAGCAATGTAAGAAAGTGCAATATTGTACAGTACAATGAATCTTTACAGAGGTTATTTGAATGTTTTGCTATTAATTGCACATTATAATTCCTCAAATATGTGACAACAGTAAGACACAATGTACAGTATTGTTGATAGTGTTCTTTACGAAGGAGGGAAAAAAAATGGTTAACAGCAACTTGCTGTGCTTTGAATGTATTTAGGTGGCTCTAATATCAATAAATATATCATACATTCCACATACAATTCCAAGTGCAATGAATGCCTTAAAAGTTGCACATTGATGATCACTGCATATATAAAAATCATTTTGTCCTAGATGTGGTCATATATTGTACCGTAGTTATGTCTTGTAGTGTTGTTAAACAAACTTTTTTATTATCCTGTATATCTGGCAGAAGAAGATTGAGTCTTTTAAATCTCAGCTAACAGTAGTTTGGTTTCAAGCATCTGATCATTGTATCTAATATATTCATCTGTGTTATTAAACCTTTTTTTTTTTTTTTTTTTTATTATTTGCAGTTTTTCTAAATTAAAAAAAAAAACTTAGTATATAAAAATATAGTGCAAATTTTTCTTTGAACAAACTCCTTAGTCTCTCAAGGTGTGTGGGTATTTTGTGACTTCTGTGTATTAAATATTTTTTATTGCGTGTAAAAAAGTGTTTATTAATAATTATATATATGGTGTAGTTCAAGAAGTATACGTTACAAGATCAGAATACAGTAGAAGTCTGACTATGCATCAACTGTGACCGAAAAGCGTAAGAAACCAGAATATTTTACAAACTTCTCCCTGTCCTCCAGAAAATAAGCAAATAATAGACTTTTAAAGCCATCATTAAAGCACTAATATGATACTATCACCAAACAGTATGATTTAATACTAATAATATAAGTACTTACAATACAGATAATGGATAAGTATGATTTCATTTCCATTCATTTGGCATCTCTACCATGAGTTGCACTTTTTATACACTCTACTATCCAGAATTTTCACTTATCCAGCCTGCATTTACCGATTTTTCTGCATAGCCAAATATTTACCATATATGATGAAATATTTGCAGCAAATTATTATATTGAAAAAAAATTAAAAATAGAAAAAACATAGCCAATGTTACTAACATATTAAGGCTTGCAGATAAAAGCACTTAGTATACTTATACTTCAGTAATAAATAATAATGTTGTATTGTTTCTGGAAAAATGTTATTTTAAATTGTATGTAAAGCAAATTAATAGTATGTCGTGAATTAATAATCTGGGTATCATTCTGAACAGAAGTATTAAGCATGAACATTTTAATTAATTTATACCTGGTTAGGTTGTAACCATATTTTAAACATTAGGCTATAGTCATATTTGTGATCACTCCAACATAATATGGTTGTCTGTGTGTCTGTTTATATTTTATTAAATAAAACCTTTGATAAAATATATAAACAATCTGTGGCTGTTTATATTTTTATTAAATAAAACTGTTGATAAAATATTGTAATTATTTATTAAGTATAATATTGAAATTAAACTTTTAAATTGAAATTTAAAAATGAATTATTCACAAACTTACGTTTTACTAGATTATTGTTTGAGTATTGTGATGTTCTATCTTTACCCAAAGAGGCTTGGGGGAGGAGGCAAGTAGACTTTAAGAGGTTAAACATTTAATCTTGCAAATATTATGCAAGCATTTAAGTCTGATTCATTGTGCAGTTAAAGAGTATTTAAGTACTGTAACAAAAGGGAAAAGTGTTTTATTATAAGGAGTTACCAATATAGCTATTTATTTTAAACACACACAAATTTCTGTATTTTTTTAAAGGTTTTTGTAGGAAAAATGTTTTATTATAAAGAATTTACCAATATAGTTATTTATTTTACACACATACAAATTTTCATGTTTTTTTAAATTTTAAAGGTTGTTGTATATTCTTTAAAAATTATTTTATACAAATATTGAATATAATTTGTTTCATGTTTCTGGTAGCTTAGAGCTATTTTTTATGGATTGCATTAATTTATTTCCTTTTAATATGAATTTTCAATATTGTTGAAATGCCAGTATTATAAATGTTTAAAAAATTTACTTTTTTTAATCATCTAATTCATACATTCCAGTATTTTGAAGCAATTCTACTAAATGTTTTTTAGATTAATCGTGAAAGATAAGTAATATAATTGTTTGTAGTAACCAGGGATATATTGCTAATGATTTATAGATTGAATCTCTTTTGCTCTGCAGGTTTGAAGAAATAAAGTATTTAAAAGTTGTGCAATGGTATTTTTTTAAAAATTTATTAAGGCTCATGGAAACAAAAAGAAACTGTATATAGATCTTAAGCATGCATTTTCTAGTTTGAGCTTTTTGTCCATTTGCAGATTTTCTGTATGAGTAAGACTGCAAAGATAGCTTTTTATAGTTATGCAATGTTTACAGTTTTTGTTAGATTCTTGGTAATAATATTGTCTCTATTCTCAATATTATAATTTGCTTTGTAGCTTTTATTGTGATGTTCTGTAATAAGCTTCCTGAATTTTTTTTTAAGTATTTGTAATTTATGACTGGACAAATGAATTGTAATATATATATACACACATATATCTATATATTATCTTTTTGTAGTTCTCTTTACAAATTATGCATTGTAATTTACATGGATGTAAAAAGGATATTGCTCTAATTGTTAAAAATAAGGTTGGTGATTGTTTTTTATACAGATTGAGAATAGGACAAACTTGTAAATATTTATTTTGTATTTGTTGTGCAATAAAGTGGTGGCAATACACTTTATTAGTATTCAAAATATGAAGAAATGATTTTGCTTTTTGAAATAAAATTTAGTCATTTTAACATTGTAATTTCATTGATTATATATAAATATTTGATGTGGACAGCATGACTTCCTTTTACAGCCTATTTAATTTTTTGCTGCATTTCATTTAAACTTATTTTTTCAAACTTCATTAGAGATATTTCTCATTAGATCAATTCAATTCTCACTTTGCAGCAAGGCAAAAATAGAACTCAAAACATAAAAACTCAAAACATTTTCATTAAAAATTGTAAAATACAGGAAAACATGAAACAATACAGTTAATACAGTTAAAAAAACCATTTTTACAATTAAAATTAGAGATTCTACACAAAAAAGTTAACTTTTGGCCCCACTTGGCAACAATATACTGATGTTAGTGTACCAGCTGACTTAATTCGCTATTCTACAAAGAGTTCCAAATGTAAACAAATGACTAACAGGCTGCAGCATGATCAGACACATTTAGTGGCAGGTTGTGCTCCAGTAAAAAGGGCATTCTGCATTAATAGCTTTTTGATCCTTTGTTTCCAGTACAACTCATGTTGTCCTTGTCTACACACATGTTTAAGAATATCAGCCCTTCCACTGTGCAAAATCGAAATGACAAACAATTCTTATGCATTGCAATATTACATTTCCCTGATGAAAAATTAATAGAAGGAAAGACATCTATGTATGATTTTTGAAAAGTACATGAGTATTTTACATTTTTATCAGATTCAAAAGATTGCGTTTTCTTAAACTGTTTTTGGGAAGCAAGTGAAACTTATGCTGTCCACTGGTGAGATGAACAAAAGAAACAGCCTCAGTTGTGCTCAGTGGCTAATATATGCTAGATGACCCGCAGTGGCGCTTTATTCTCATTGGAAAACTAGAACATGATGTTTTCAGACTTGCATACAAAGCAGAAACGTGCCACTTCTCACTGATGAAATGACTTCGATTTTCATTTATATATATACATAGAGAGAGAGGAAAAAACAAATGGTTTCAGATACCCAGAATCATTTTTTTTGGGGTGCAGGTAATTAAGTAATAAGCCAGGCTACATAAAACTTGTGAGAAATTTTAAAAATAACATAAAGTCAGGAGAAATATGTTGAAAATCGGGTTGGCGGGAGTATAGTTGGGAACTGGGAATCTTCTTCCTAGTATTGTATTGTGGTGGAAACTATACCTGTATAAACAGTAATGCCTCATCTACTTTTACCTATATCTAGCTGTGTGAAAGGCGTAAAACTGCTTTAGATTGCTATAAAGGTAATTTTTGTAATAAGAAATATAATTTTTTGCTCAAATTTTCTTTTGGTTGCTTTTGTTAATTACACGCCAACAGTGACTGAAGTGTATTGGAAAAAACTCATATTTTCACAACAGTGGTGGCTGTTGGATGCAGAGAGTTAATACAGCCAAATTCGACTGTAATGAATTTCAAGGGACCAGAAATTTGGCTAGCTATATCTGATGTGATTAAAAAATTATCTCGCGAAAACATGTAAATATTGAATGAAGAATCACAGAAAAGAAAAAAACTGGTATGTCATATCTACTAAGTACTTTTAAAGACCATCAAAAGAAAAAGAAATTAAGAACCTATCAACAAATGGGAATTGAATAAATTAAAACAACTATCTATGCCCAAACTTCTTTTTTGCAATACATTCTAAGAACAAAACAGTTCTCTAAGTAGGATGCATTATTATTAAACATGATCTATAATCTAATATTTAATATAACAAAACCAACTTTGTAAAATTTATCAAGCAACTAGTATTAAAATACAAAATTTCTTGAAACCTTTATTTATTTACATTTAAAATAGTCTCACATGTTTTAAAGTTGATTAATGATGCTTTAAGTTTTATTTACAAATATGTTTACGGTGATTTGTTATTTTGTACCTCATTTTGTCATATACTCAGTCCAGAGATTCATGCAGATTTTATCATGGAGGTAGGAAAGGGAGGAGGGGCCAACCCACGCTAAAAGTGAAGCACTGCTTTGAAGCTTGGGTCACCAGATGGGGTGTTTTTGGTTCACATTCAGAAGCTCGCTTGACAAGATTCTGATAGTATTTCGACACACGACAGTTCCATAGAAATCGAAAAAGGGACACTTTCGCATGAAAGAAACATTCATAGTGTGATGGATAATAGCAATTTGTATAGTTTAGTGACATTTACGCAAAAATCACATCTTGGTTATTTTTCGATAACTAACAACAGTGATTTTGATTATGAATTTGTTTTATAAAATTATAAGCTGTTGCACTACAAAAATATAGATTTTAAGAAAAATGTTATGCTTAAAGAATGAAAAATACCTTACGGTACATTTAAAATTGTATACGTCTTTCAATACCCTTGATAGAGTATTCGCTACTTTTATTTTATTTTCCAAACGTCAAAATGTTTTAAATAAAACAAACTTTTTTTCACATCCATATATTATTGTAACGTGTACCTTTTAAAAATTTTTTAGAGGAGAGGCTTTACTAGCTGCTCATTTAAACCCATCGTTTTAATTTTATATATCTGAAAAATAATCACTTTGGACCTACACGTTTTATAAATATAAAATTATGTATGTTAAAATATTTGTAATTAGGCACATAGGTCAGATTAAGTTTTTATTAAATAGAGTAACGCATGCAAGGGCTATCTGCCTAAAGACAGAGATGCCATAGTGGAGGAATTTTGAAGAAAAACTGACCTTTGAGTGGGTATTAAAAATAATACTTATAATTTTCATTCAAATTATATTCATATACATTTTTTATGTAAAACTTTCGGGTGTATGCTAAATTAGTGTAAATTACTTTACATGAAAAACATAGTGAATGCACAGAAATTAAAGATTTGCACATGCCGGAAATGAAAAATAGGAAATATGTATGGGTATTTATGCATGTGCTTGCAAAAAGCATGTATCTGCCTTTGACAAAATACTTAAATATTCATTAAATTATTTATAAATGCATTTGAAATGAAGAATTTATTCACTTATAAACAACTGTGAAAGTACTGTGAAGAAATCTAATGATTAAATGTATCTAATTTATAATGATTATAAATGTTATCTAAATATATAATAACCTTAATATTGAATTGTAAACATAAATTGAAATCCTGTTGACAAATACGTTATAAAACCATTTAAGCAAGAATTGTTCGTATTGGAAAGCAATCTGTTAAAAGGTATTGTAAAGCAAATGCTATGAGATGCGCACTTAAGAACGTAATAAAGAGTTTTGGAATATGTATTGTTGAAATGAAGGGTAAAAAAAAGATCTGATAAGTATAAAAGAATTATTCCCCTTACATTTTATAATAACTCAGTTACAAGTTTTAAATAATACTTAAAAAAAAAAAAAAAAAAAAAAAAAAAAAAACTTATTTTATTCCCTTCAGAAATGTTCAGAGAAGTCAAGTACTATTTAATTATTAGGAATTAGCGAAATACTTTAAATAAGTATTTCGCTAATTCCTAATAATTCTCTAATTTAAAATGAACCGAATAGAGCATTAATTATAAATTGACTTACTTTTTTCGATTTAAAAGATGCCTCAGAAGCCAAAAAATCATGTCATATTTAAGAAAGTATTTTAGGAAGTTCTATAAATAGAAAAGAAATAATGCATAATTTTAATATTAATAATACAATAAACTTTGATCTTAATTTTTGTACCTTAACCGAATAAAATTGAATTACCTTAATTTTTTTTCTAATGTAATTAACGAAAACTTGTGAAAATATTTCATTCAAATTAAACCATTCTGAGAAAACTGTCCTGTGAAAAGTATAGCATTTAATTCCGTTCAGAATGAAATGTTGTTTAAAAATATGTTGTTTTCACATATCTAGGACTCTGAAGTGTTGTAGAAAAAGAAAATATATACATTTATATGTATATTTACGACGTAATTACAAAATATTTACACCCGAACGCGTCAAATCCCATAGAACTCAATGGTAAATGACCCAATGTTTTGGTCACCACGTAGGGATCGCCGGTGCTTCAGAGCAGGGTACGGGAGAAGCTTGTTTAGGGCGACTCCATCTTACTTCCTACCTCCATGGATTTTATTTCCAGTGGCTTAGGTTAAAATGAAGAGTAAAATCATAATCAGCATTGGCTAGAGAGAGACAGCAGGATATTGACACAGTTGGTAAGCATTGAAAATTAGTAACATTTTGTCTATCTTATCCAGTTTGCATAGAGTTGCTGGAATTATAACTAGTTAATATAAAATTCCAATAAACTGCTGAAGGTGATAAATTGTTTTGTGTAATTTTAGGTCTCACTAGCTGTAAGTAATAAAGTGCAAGGATTATTTTAATTTTCTAATAATTATTTTAAATTTTGAAACCCTTTCCTTTTTTTTTTTTTATTACATGATCCAGCCTTAGGCACTGCATGGAAAGGGAGGGATGTCCCATGGAGGTCTTTTTAAGGGAAATTGGCTCATATCCATGTTACACATGGGAAAAACCATGAAAACACCCATGCAGCCAGCCTGTTCACCAGGACTCGAACCCTTGACCGAACTACCAGCGTTCAGTGGCTTTTATCGCTCACCCACTGGTGGACCAAACCTTTTCCTTTAAATTCTCGTTTCCCATCTACATCTGTTTACCAGAATAAGTTTTAGCATTGCATTATTTGTAAATGAGGTAGAGTATTTAAAGAAAGTTTCACTTACTTCAAAGATAATTTCCACTTCCTAGTTTGTCCTCTGGACCCACACTGCAGCATTCAACTACTTCCAGTGCTCCAAGAAGCATGCTACTTGACGATAGCCGGATCAAAGCAAGCACAACATAAGCTATTCGCGGCTAAGCACCAAAACTGGAACTTCAAGAGAAGAGCTTAGGAGTCCTTAGTGGCGCATGTTTGCCGTTCAAGCTGCTTTTAAGCTAATTACGCTTGGCCGTATTGTACTAGCCTGCTGATATTTGCTGCTTAATTTAATTAAAGGCTAACTATGTTAGATAATTTTGTACAGCTCTGGCTTAGTTGAGCATTAGATTAGCTTCTTATTTAGCGGTAAGTCGTTACATAGTTCAACTAGGTTTCTACGAAGTCAAGCATACTTAAAGTAGTTAGAAACATTATAAAATTTTTATGTTAATATTTACATTTTTGTATTGTGTCCATAGTAAGGATTTAGAAAGATAATAACTCCCCTTAACATGTACAGAGAACTATTAAGAATGAGGAGTTAGTTATAACTAATTAAATTATGTAGTTGAATACCTTGTATTATGTAGTTATTATAGATTTACAGGGTCACTTCTAAAAATATTCATTAAAAAAGCACTATTAATATCAAAATCTAAGACCATTTTACAAATTAAAATAACATAATTATACATTTAATTTTGAAACCAATTCTAAACTGATATTAGGATCCATTAATATACATTAATAAGTACAAAACACACACACGATAAAATATTTGAAATATTTTAGCTAATTTATAGCACTTATTTTAGCATCTTTTCTAAGTTTATTTGTCTCAATAAACAATTGAATACTCCCACTAACCTCTGCTTTGTCTTCTAGTTTGATAATGTTTCAATAATATACCTTTGAAGAACAGTTTTCTTTCTTTTTATATAATCATATTCTTCTGCAATAAGTTTCTCTCTTCATTTTAAAATTTTCAGATTTAACTAAAGATTTGTGTTATTCTAAAAAACCACATATGTAGAAGAGACAGAAGGAGGCACCGAACAACAAGATTTAGGGTCCACACAGTTTGCAAAAGCCTTGTATCAGTCCTGTGTATGGTGCACTCAGACATACAAGATGAATTTTTAAATTGTCATTTTTATATTTCTTTCTTAATGGAAAGATTCTTTTCTATCCATGTGACAAGATTAGAATCATTTTTACAATTTTCCATGCTTGTGTCAAATGAAAAGGAGAGAAAATAAAAGGAAGATAAACATGTTAAGAGAAAGACTTCAAATTTCTCAAAATTAGGAAATTCAAATAATTTTGTTTTTACTGTTTTTCCAAAAATTCTCTAAAAATTAAGAAATTCATATCAAATTTTTTGTAAAACACGCTCATTACGCGTTAATACCATGAAGGTATTTTTCATTTTGTGACCACATCATAGCTGCAAAGAAAAATTACATAAAAAAAGTCTTTACAGCATTGGTACCTTGCATGCTATATTAAATAGATCAGCATTTAAAAACACAGACTGTGTAGTTGTGTTATGATAGCTGATGACCATATATACCTGCTACTTTAATGTACAGGAAAATTACCCTCATAATTTATATTTTATTACAGAAAATTTTAAGATATTGAAAATAATTTAGTTTTTATTTTAAAAATATACACAGAAGTCTACATTTGTATCACATTCGCTTATTTAAAGCAGCAACAGCTGCATCTTCAAATTGGCAAGTTATCAATATATTGCGGAATTTCTCAAGCAAAGATAAAAGATGTGATCTCCTTATATTTTCACAATACATAATTTCTTCTAAGTGATGCTTCCCATCGAAATACGGATGAAATCTGTAAAGAGATTTTATAATCGTTAATTTAGTTCTTGCACTAGTCATATATATGATTTCTCAAATAATATAAAGAATGAAAAAAACTATAAAAACTTTTTCTTTTTTTTTTTAAATTTTGCCAGCAGACCTGATAAGAATTCATACGATCTCAAATCTTATAGATATTTAAAGCAGGCATGATCTTTTAATTTTACTGTATGAAAGAGTATGCTGTGCACTAAACATTTTTAGTGACATTAGTTTTAAGTGAAACCTTTGCAGACAGATTTATTACATTATCCAATACATATTTTGTACAAATTGGTTTTAAACATTATTTAATTTGATATAAAGTATAATGAAACTGAACTACAAAAGTAAAAAATTCTTGTACCAAAGAAAAATTAAGATTCAAATGAGTAAATTTATCTATTAAATCAAACAGACACAGCAGAAGAAATGAAACATTTGATTAAGGCTAGGGGAATTAAGGCTAAGCTATGGGAATGTTACGAAATTTTACACATTAAAATTTTTTTGCATTCCCAGCAAATGATTTTAAATGAGATGTGTATACATAAAAATCAAAAATAAATTATTTTTTTTATCTAATATTTATTTAGCTAACATTTTACTCTACCCTTCAGATTTCATAACTTATATATTCTTGACACTTGTTTCTCTATGTAAGATATCATTTGAATATCATCAAGTGAGAAATATATGAAACAAATATTACAAAGATACATATAAATATGTATTGAGGTAAAATATTCAACAGTACAAAGTTTGAAAGTGTATGATTTTTTATATTTAATCTCACTTCGAAACTTCAATAATGGCATATTACACAAAGTTCTTGGACTTTCACATTTATATAACATTCTGAGAATTGCAAAACCCTCAGTAAATTGGATAAATTACATATTCTAAATTACTTTGCTTTATGATAAACAGGTATAGAGTGGAGCAAGACCGGCACCTGTGCATCCAGTTAAATATATTAGGTATTGACGGGATTTGCTAAGTTTCTACCCCAGATGGAACTCTGAGAGAAAACACCATGGGTGCAGTGCGAGGATCTTCCATGCTTTTCCGCTATCACCAACCTATTGAGAGAATATCGGCTTGCTGTCTATTTTGAGTGCCTCTTTGTCGTACAGACACTAACAAGCATTTATGCCTTTCCTGGAATTTGAAATCCGGTACCATTCAGTACAGCAGTCAGTCTCTAAACACTATCCCTTTTGGGTGGTACTTTATGACAAACAGATACAGGTTGAAGTAAAGCTGACACCTATGCACCCAGTTATGCATATTAGGTGTCACTGGGCCTTGCTAACTGCTAAAGTTCCACCTGAAACAGAATTCCAAAGAACAACCTATGGTTTTATTTGAAATAGGGCATCTTCATGGCTGTTGCAAACATTCAACAGATGCTCAGCATATTTCAAAACGTCTGGCAGTCTATGCAGCATCCATGCTATGAAACTTCCTGCAACTTTATTATCAGGAAAGTCATGACTTATTTTAAGCTAATAGTCTTTTAATGTCAATTTTTGATCATGATATATTCATATTTTCTATCTTAACACCTCTGCAAGTGGTTGTCAATGGTTTTCATGCGACAGCCTTTAATATCCCTCTACTCTACCCCTCCTAGAAGTTGTTCCTCTAGTTTTTAATCACTCTGTTTATATATATATATGTAAGATGTAACAAAATATGATAGCTGCTTTTAAAAATAATTGGCAACCTCAATATTAACATTTCTAGATTTGGTGCTCTCCCCATGAATTCATCTGTTTTCCTAAATTCGAGATCATTCCAAATTACATAACACTGCTTGGAAAAAGTAACTAAAACTAATATTGACCAATCATAGCTTACAGTACTTTCTGAATCTTCGTAGTATAAATACGGCTTTGCGAGGAACTACGTCCCTTTTTTTATCCTGACTTCTGATATGCAAACAACTCTGCGTCGCTTATGCTTTCCTGCCCGACGTTACGTAGTATACCTCTATCTGTGTATATAAGAAATTATTGTATTCAAATATGATTTAAAAGTAAATTTGTCTGCTGAAAGATGATTTGAGATGTGTAAAAATAAAGATGGTGATTCTTCAATTTAGTTTTGTTATCTGCTTCATCAAGCCCTCACCCTCAGCTATGAAGCAATAATGAAAGCTGTTAAAAGTTTCCAGTGCCTTCATCTATGCATTTTAAAATCATGACAATTTTTACAAAAAGTTGCCCAGGATTGTAAATGCGATGAAACTTTCCCCAATGGATTTCGAAGCTTTTCAAAGCTCCCAACAAGTCTCAATGTTTTCACATACACATTTAAATTACTACACACACACACACATATATATATACACACACCCTTTTCAGACATGAAAAATAGAAGTGTTTGTCAGTTCCCTCACTAGAACGGGAGATACAGAATGATATGCCATGATTATGAACTTTATTACGTGAAAAGGTTGAATTTTTGATATGGTATAGCTAAGGATTTCTTTATGATTGTAGCCATATCTTTTATATTCAAATCTTCTTTTTTCTTTTCTTTCTTTCTTTTTTTTTTTTTAAGCACAGCCGTACGATAAAATATTTGAAAAGCTATACCTAGTAATTGAATTATTTAACTTATGACAAATTACTAGATGTCTATTTGCCTAAAAAGATAAATACTTTTATGAAAATTTTTTTAAAGAAACCTGGCTTATATTCATGTTATACTCAGAAAAAAAAAAAATTCCAAAAATTCCATGAAACTAGCCTGTCTGCTGGAACTTTAACTTCGATCAAGTATCAACAAACTGAAGTTTTATCACTCGACTTCTAGTGAGGCTACACCTACTTAAAGATTCCATATAATATTCAAACATATACTATCAGATAAAATGAAGGAGAATTTTTATTAATATAATAGATGAGGAGATAGGTAATCTCTGGTGTATTTAGTAGACATCATGCTGGTGATACTAAGAAAGCTTCCAAGCAGCTTTTTATAACTGATTAGAAAACAGATAGATATTCAATCATGCCAAAATGTCATGCTGGCCGGAAGATCAGCCAATTAGAATTAGCTGATTATTAACAAATTCTGAGCACATACATAAGGAAAAAAAATCTTAAATGAGAACAGATAAAATAAATTTGATTTGAAATAATAAAAATACATCAAAGGGCATTGAGAATTATAAAAACCAAAATCATACAAATTTTTGCATACTAAATTGTGTAAATATTTATTTCCTTTCTAAAAATCTGAAATATTCTTTGAATGGTCTATATAATTATTCACAAATTGCACCCAATGATAAAAAAATATTTTACACTAAACTTTTATGTGCAAGATGCATACAGTGATTCATCAACATTTTTAATCAACCTGGGTAACATTAACAATGGTATTCAAAAGTAATAAGTTTTGTAAAATGAAATGATTTATTACAGATGCTTCTTACATTAATAGAATTATTTTCCATTCAGTTAACTGCCTACAACCTCACCTCTTATTAAAAAAAAAAAAAAAAAAAAAGATTAACTGTAGCACAATGACCTGAAGCTATCTGCATTCAATATATTGATCAATAGCTTCTTTTAAAACTCATTTGATTGCCACTTTTCTAACAGATGCATTGGTATTGCTTTTTTTTTTTTAAATCAGGATTTTCATTCTGAATAGAATATAGCTTTGACTCGCATACTAATTATATCTGCATAGTTGATGCTTCACACTTCATAACATGTTTAATGTGACATTAGCTGAAATAATAGTGAAAAAGTGTCTTGCACTGCAAATTTTTCTTTAACTGACTTATGAAGAAAATATATGAGTGAAGCTGTATTAGATGCATGGTATATCTGTTCCTCTTGTAACTCACTTGAAGAAATAGCGGTATTTGAAAAAGAAGAAATGTATTTAAAACTAAATACCAGATTTATATATATTTAAGATATATATATTGATATCCTTTCTTCTATCAGTTGCAGTGAAAACAGAATTACCAAAGGGTAAACAAAATAAAAAAAATACTTTTTTTAACACACATATTTACTTGCTCTGAATTTCATACAAATAAATTTAAATTATTCATGCACCTTAAGAGATCGAGCAGAACTGGATAATGTCAAAGCATATTAGGGTTACCTACTGAAGAGGAAGGATGCCTCTGTATAGAACTTTCTATGTGGAAATGGCTCATATTTGTACTAGACATGGGAAAAACTATGAAAACTTTAAGCAGCCATCCCACTCACTAAGATTTACATGCAAGTCAAATTAGCAGTATTCATCTTACTACCTAAATCTAATGAGTGTATGTATCTTAGAGATGCTGCCATTTAATGAAAGTTTTCCATATTGAGTCTCAAACTTCGTTGCTAAACATTTTTAAGGGTGGATAAAATGAAAACAGAACAGCAGCCACAAAATGAAAAGGTATTATTTATTTTAAAATGTAATCACCAAAACCATACATGCACTTACCCACTGTTGTACCAAGTGCTGAACAGCTCATTTGTAGAAAGAGTTTGGCTGAGACTGAAATCAGTTTCGAACTGTGTCCATGACTTCACTGTCCAAGTGAAAACGTCGACCTGCGATGCCTTTTTCAGTGAACCAAAGATGTAAAAGTCATATGATGAAAGGTTGGGGCTGTATGGTGAGTATTCCAACACACTCCATAGAAATCGTGCAAGCATGTTCAATGTGCGAGTGGGCGCATATTGTTGTTGAGCTAAAGCACTTCACAAAATACCTGGCCACCACTTGGTTGCTGCACGCAAACATTCTGGGATATTACAGTACTGAGCAGCTTTGATTGTTTGAACTAGGGCCAGGAACTTAATGAGAAGTAGGCTTTTCACATAAAAAGTCAACATGATTTTTTCCATACTCTTCATCATCCTGGACTTCTTAGGCGATGGGGAGCTGGGATGTTTCCACTACTGGTTTTGTCATTTACTATCTGGTTGGTAGTGACGGTACCTGGATTCATCACATCCAACCAGAAACTTGTCCATCACTTTGTCCAAAAAATTGTTCTACAACCAGAAACTTGTCCATCACTTTGTCCAAAAAATTGTTCTATAGAACAATTTTTTGGACAAACTGATGATATTGGAGAAGATGCTGCAAGGACAATCTCATGCGAAGCCACCTCTGATTATGAGACTGTGTGATACCCACTATGCACTTAGTTTCCCGTAATGCAGTTTCTCTGTAATGATGGCACGAACAGAGTCGAAACTCAAATCCACCTCCTTGTTGATGTCCTTTATTATGCACAGTCTATCTGCATGGATGATCTGGTCAACTTCATTAACCAAAGCATTTGTGATGACAAGGTGAATTTGATCAGGTTGTGGATCATCTTTCAAAGATTATCCGGCCCTTGTGGAAATGCTTGTGCTAGTCCTGCACAAGAGTCAGTGACAGTGAGTGTTCTTTGTACACTGTTTTCATTTGCCAATACACTTCACAAACTCAAACACCTTTTATCGCTAAAAATCGAGTAACACCATGTTGCTCTTTTTTAGTTGCAAACATTATGCAGACATGGATGAAATGACAAATGATTGTCTGCCGGATGACACAGTTGGCTGATCACCAGCACGTTTATCTAGCGCAAATCCATTCTGCAATAGAGGTTGTCTTTCTTAGCTCCGGCACTTCCTTTACACACAATTCACGACAGTCATGTAAAAATATCAAATTATGGCCACTGTTCTGTTTCCATTTCACTCACACCTGGACAGCAAAAACATGGACACAGTTCAAGACTAGTTTCAACTTTAACCAAACTCTTCCTATGAATGAGGTATTCACCATTTTGTGGAACAGTGGGACAACTGCTTGGATAATTTTGGTGAATACATTTGAAAATAAATAACACCTTTTCATTTTGATGGCTATTGTTCTGTTTCCATTTGATCCTGCCTTATATATTGGTGCTTTTTTTAAATAAACTATGAAAATTATTTTAAAAAAGTAAATTAAAATGAATTAATAGCAAAGGATGAGAGTAATAGGACCCTTTAAGACAGGGGTTCTCAACCGGTGGTACACGTACCACTGGTGGTGCGCAAGAGAAAAATAGGTGGCATGCATAAAAGCAAAGTATTTTTAATTATTAAATTCAAAAATTAAAACCCCAACATCCTGAGTTTTTTTTTAACACTCTTAAATTTTTGTGATCTGATCTTTGTTCAAGAGTGGTGGTGGCAGTAGTACTTTGTAGTGGTGGTACTAAAGGTTTTCAATTTTTGTTTAGATGGTACGTGTCAGTCAAAAGGTTGAGAACCGCTGCTTTATGTCTTGGGTTCTTGAAGGATAAACTGTATGTTGTCCACAAAAAAAAAAAAAAAAAAAAAAAAAAAAAAAAAAAAAAAAAAAAAAAAAAAAAAAAAAAAAAAAAAAAAAAAACCGGCTTAGCCATGCCTTCATTACAAAATATAAGACGATTCAAGCATTTTATGCTGGTAAACAGGGACTACAGGTGAATGATGTATAATATGGTTGTAAAACTGGTGGCCCGGAAAGCAATTTTATGCAGTCTGTAAAGACACTTCAATTACAGTGTTGCAAAGATTTGAGGATTTTTACTTCAAGTCCAAGTTTCCATTTTTTTTTTTTCAATTGCATTAAAAATGAATATAACAATACACCAGAAAATCTATAAATGTGGCTAATTTATTCACAATGTAACATAAATCTTATTCAAAGATTTGATGTTAGAGTTTTTATTAACTTTTATTTGTATTTGTTAAAAAATAAATAAGCTCAGTTATGGATTTTTGCAGAAGGAATAATTGCTTTGTTTAGGAATACATTTATATACAAATTATTTAAAACACATTATTTAACGACAATATCAAAATTATTTGAAAGAAATGTCAAGCTAAGAACATAATATTTCGCTGTCAGTATATTTGAATTATAAATTATAACCAATGAAAATGTCTTATAGGTACCAAACTTTAAATTTCAGATAGAAATAAATATAAATTTGAATTTTTCCCTTTGCAATATTATTACAATGATCACTATTGTATAATAAATATTTAGTAAGCAAAATTTAAAATTTATTTAAATATTTTTTATTTTGTAAATAAAATATTTCCTTTTATAAAAAAAAAAGGAAGGATAAAGAAAAGAAAAAAAAATCTGGCTCGTCGGCTGCTTTTACATTATCTATTCAATCCGCATACAATTTGACTCTAACATCACTACTCTATAGCAATAGATTTTGGATTCACTTGTTTGCGACATTGCATGGGATCTTTGGATCCCTTCCCATGGTGAAACAAACTCCTCTTCCTAGCAGCTGAGTTATACTCTCATCTTGTGTTGAACAGACTGCAGCATTTTTATTAAAAGCAACTGATAAATTTTAACAAAACAATATAAAAACAGAACCTAAAAAAATTCTTTAGGTCATCTTTGCTGTTGCTTGAGACATTTCTTAGAATACTATTTTGTTCAGATGGTGTCAGATTTGCTAAACGCATAGAATCCTGCTCTCGCAAGGATAAATCTTCTTCAGAGACACTTGAAGCTTTAGAATGCGAAGGACTAAGAAGTGATTCTTCACTTTGGTCTGTAATATTAGAGAAACATAAAAATTTTCATTAAAAAATATACAAACAGCACGTGAAATTAAATTCTTTCTCTTTATCAGTTGTGAAAGCGACTGAAAATACTTAAATTACCAGTTATTTAATTATTGTACAATAATACTTGATTTAAAGAGGATTTGAAACATACATAAGCATTACAATATAAACTTACATAAACAGGTTGTCTTAAAAATGTAGCAACAAACTGTTTTGGAGAGGTTAGTATATCAAAAGGATTGAAAATTGCATAGCAACTCAATGACCAGATACGCCAGGGGTAAGTGACAGCAGAGGTAGAAAACTGGAAAGAATAAAAGAGATTGATCAATTTGAAACATTTATTGGACATTATGAGTCAAATGGCATACGAGAGGAATACAGTTCTAATGTTAGAACAGAAGATCGAAGTTTGCACCATCAGACATCAAATGGAACATTAACTGTCGAAAATGGTTGAACACATCGGAAGTTTTGTTGATCGTAGTAGCAGTGCAGATGAGTCTTGCCATGAGATCCATTTCCACAGAATCATGATACATGATAGCTTTGAGGGCTCCCCACAGAAAGAAATCAAGGTTCAAGTGAGTGTGGAAGCCAGGAAATCGGTTTATTATGTCCAAGCCATCAATGCGGGAATGTCCTGTTCAAATGCCTACAAACAGCCGGTCCAAAATGAGCAGGACTCCATCATGTTGGAATAACATTTTGTGTCTCGTAATTGCTGGAACATCATCAAGTAAGACGGAAAGAACTTACTCCAAAAAGATGCAATAATTTGCGAAGATTATGTGGGGTGGTAAAAAGGTATGACCCAATCAAGTAGTCACTGACCAAACTTGCACACACATTTACAATGAAGCAATGTTGTGCTATGTGGTACCACACACAGCTCCGGGAGGTTCCCTTAAGCTCCCAAATGCACATTTTGATGATTGAATACACCATCCCTATTGAATATGGCTTCACCAGTGAACAAAATATAAGCTGGGAAATTCACAACTCGGACACTTTATTCCAGAAACCACTACACGAAACGTACATGTGCAGGATGATCATCAAGAAATGGTAACTGAACACTTTGGAAATGAAAGGTGTATAAGGATTCAGCGTTTAAAACATGCTAAGGCAGTGGCAATGGCACATATGCTGGTAGTGGTATTAGTCTCCATGGCATCTAAAAATTATCTTCCATAACGACTGAAAGTGTAGATCATGGCCTGTCCTCATTAATCCAGCTACTTCTTAATGACCTGTACTCACACAAATTTCAATGCACACATGCAAACACACTGTGGGAACTGGGACATCACTGTCTGGGAAGCATTCTCGATAAACTCATTCAGTGGCTCTTCCTTAGCTATTCCATTTACTAAGTGCATATATGCAAGCTTACCATTCATATACCACTGCATGCTCTTCATACGCTGGCTACCTCCTAAAAGAGGAAATCCTCACTTTCCCCTCCAGCACTCTTGTGTAGAGCACTCCTAGCAGCATATGATGATGTTTCTGGGCATGGGTTCGTATGCAATTCTCAATTTTTTATGATGTACCTACCTCCCCTAAAAGTTTATTGTTATATTTTGGAGACATCCTGTATAATATACAGGGTGGCCATAAAAAAAAAAAAAAAACTTTCCTCATATACAAACCTCTAGTGGCTTATTTGCTCAACCAATCGAAATGAAATTTCAGATATTGTTATCTGAAGGTAATGCTCCAGATTGTGATGATTTAAAACAGTACAGCTCTCTTGAATTTCGAAAGGCAACAACCACTTTTTCCTGTGTGAATTGATCAGTGCATTGAAAACCCATAAATAACATTAGAATTACACTTGTACGATGTAAATTGCCAGTCTAAAACATTTGCAAAGAAGAAATAGACCAATGGCAACACAAGAGAGGAGAGGTGGAAAAATAACTTATATTGAAATTACAAGTTTTCAACATGCACAACATTTTGAGAAAGAATCATCTCTCTCAACTCTGTAGTTTCATGGCCACCGTGGTCCCCCAGCCTCACTCCAACGGATTTCGGGTTCTGGAGCTACCTGAAATCTAAGGTGTATGTATCAAATCCACAAAATTTGCCATAATTCAAAGGTGCCATAAAGCACGAAGTTATACAGATTCCTCCTGCGATTCAACCTTCGCATTTCTGTCAACAATCTCTCGCATGCAATGCATTATCATCTGCGAAGTTTTACAATTTTCTTCATACGTGTGTTCCATCATCGATATGGTTTTTCAATGCTCTGATCAATTTGTGCACGAAAAATGTGAATAATATAGTTTGAAAATGTCAAAAACCTTTTCACTGTAACCATAACCATGAGAGAGGAAATTGTCTTAAATAATTCCAAACTTGAGTGCATACCTTCAGATAACAATTTCTGAAATTTTACTTTAATTGGATGAGGGGATAGGCTGCTACAGGTTCATATATCAGGGAAGTTTTTTTTACAATATACGTATATCCAAAAGACTTAAGACTAAATCTTTATTTGCATAACAGATAACAATCTATAAAAAATAAGATAGTAGTTTTTTCTCCACCGGGGGGTATATATTTAGTTTAAACTTTCATTTTTAGAGGGTGTTACGTATATATATATATATATTGTATCCATAAATGTCCTTTCATGGCCTTTGTTTTTGCAACCATTGGTTATATACATATTCTTCCAATAACAAAAATGTTTTCAATGATGCAAAAATTTATGTTTTGACATTTTAAAATTAAGAGTAGTAAAAATTAAGTGAATTTTGTAAAATTTACAAAATCTAACTCTTCCAGTCCCTATACTTAGATTTTGAAAACTTGGTACTTGTTACAAAAAATAAAAAGTTTGACTGCTGTACAATAAAAACTGACTGAGATATTTGATATTAAAATCAAGAATAATATTCAGGAGCTGTATACAAATTGGAGAATAAACCTTTGCATCTGTAAATAACTAAAAATAAAATATATCAAGCATTTCTATACAGATCATTGAAAAAATCTTAATAATTATAATTTTTTTTTTTCAAAATGGAGATCTTGCAAAACTTTGTTTTACCAGACTCTGGAATTGGCACATAGCTCACTAGTAATATTATTTGCAACAGTTAAAAAAAATGAAAAAAAAAAAAAAAAAAAAAAAAAAAGTTTTACTTTTATAAAAGTAATAAAACTGTATGAGAGTATAAATAACAGATTTTTCGACTTTGTAAAATTATAAATTACTTGCATGAACATTCTTTCAGCATACCAAATGTAACAAAAATTTAAATTTATTTATTAACTGACCCCTTAATGCAAATTTAAAATGATGTGAATATTGTATTGTTACGACATGTACAGGCGCGGTAAGATGGCTTCCCCGCAAAGCAGTTTTAGGGTTGCCATAAAATAGCAAGGAGGGCAGGGTTGCCACATTTGGCGAGAAATCGCCCATTTGGAGATATACCATGGATGGATGGAGAACCTTCTGGAATGAATTCTTACTGGTTTAGCCCAGAATGTTCTTGAACACAAGCCGAAAACTATATAAACCCTGCTGGCCCGCAGTTAGGGAATGCCTCATCAAGAAGGCGAGTCAGTGTGTGCCTCACATAGAGTGCGAGATAGTTAATATTGAGTTGGTGTCTCGTCTAACGAGTCAATCCCTGCGGAGTCGATCGAGTTGACAGCCGAGCAGCGAGTGCCAAGTGGGTCGTCGAGTTCACTGAAGGAGTCTCTTAGTGTATCGCGGTTAGTGCATCGTCGAGAGAGCGTGTTGAGCTCTGGGAATGACTGAAGCGAAGAGTCGGGAGCCGTGCTCTGTGTGTCGTCGAGTGCATCGTGAGTTGTAGCATGGAGAGTCTTGAGAGTACGTGGAGTTCCGAGAACGACCAAGCAGAGTCGGGAGCTGTACTCTGGTGCTTTGGAGTGAAGCTGTCTCCACGGTAATAGCCTGATAACCTGAAGGCTGTGTCGCTGATCATGTCAGCGTCTGGTTCAGCGTCCAGTTCAGTAGTTCATCAGCGACTATAAAACGTGTTTTGGAGCTGTCCTGACAATACTGGCTAATAAATTGAGTTTCAATACTTCATCAAGTAGTGTCGTCATTTTTCACTCCAAATCCATATGAACCCCGTACGAACGTGAAGGAAGGAAAATAACGTAACAACTGGTGTCAGAAAAAGAAAAATGCAACATAGAGATCAATTTTTGCTGTATGAAAGTCAAACCTTTTTTTGTTTTGTTTTTACTTGTGTTTTTTGATTAATACCAACAATATGTTTGTAAATCTAGGTATAGGTACCGAAACAACATGCAAAAATTTGATTCTGTACTTTTATACAAATTAAGAAATATTAAAAATATGAATAGTCAAAAGTCTTTAATCCAGACGTCAATAATCTGGACCTCAAAGCTACAAACTTTCTGCGCATGCATAAACACATAATGCATCTACGCATGTGCATAATACGTTTACGCATGCGTGTTTAATGTATAACGGACGGTATAAGTTAAGCTAAAATTATCTAATTATCTATTTCAGTTAATGTTGCAGATTGCGTTCATTGTTCCTTAATCTTCTAATTGGATTCGGCTTATTATTTTTTGCAGACTGTTAGAGCAATTTTATAAAAGTAAGCTTGAACTTTCGATTATGTCTAAAAGAATTTCTGATTCTGGAGCTGCCAAAGGATCTACAAAGCGAAAGCATGTTTCGATGTCTATCAAACAAAAACTGGAATTGCTACAAAAAATGGATAAAGACATATCTTTTGTTTCTCTAACCATTCCGAAACCTGTTTATCATTTATCAACCTGTATACCTGATCTGTCGGGGAGGGGGGACGTCGCAGCGTGCAATGAACTGGAAGTTGATCTGTTAGCACTATCCTTATCTTCAGGGCAGATGTTTTTATTTTATTCGGCTTATAATTCCTTACTAAATGTAGTATTTCATCTCGATGTACTCCGTCTTTGATATGATTTAAATCAA